CTAGGCAGGAGGCCCTTTGGTCCCGGTTGGTGGCACCAACCGGGACCAATAGGCATCCACGCGTCAGCATTTTAGGTGCTGGGTTTTTTGTTTTTTTGGAGGGGGGGGGGTTAGGGGGTTTTGGGGGGGTGTTAATTTAGGTGTTTCATATATTGTGTTAGCTAGCTAATTAATAGAGAGAAGTGTCCTCTCTTATCTTCGTGCTTGGTCGACGCTATGTACTATACGTATAGAGAGGACTAGACACGCTAACTAGTAAGCAAATGACGGAAACAGAAGATCGTCATGAACATATGCATACAAAGAGAAGTGATATCGACCACCTCTCCTTCTCTGAAAGATTGGTCGAACAACAAGTTCTCGTATATGTATCCGACGCTATGTACTGGCTACATATATACAATCACTAGTGCAGAACCGGACTTTAGCGCCGGTTCGTAAGGGCCTTTAGTGCCGGTTCTACAACCGGCACTAAAGAGTGGAGACTAAAGCCCCCCCTTTACTACCGGTTCGGCATGAACCGACGCTAAAGTGCCACCACGTGGCACGGGCCAGGCCCGGGTGCTGGTAGACCATTAGTACCGGTTGGTTACACCAACCGGTACTAAATGTTTTGGGGGGGGGTTGGTTTTATTTTCCATTAATTTTGTGTTTTCCATTTAATTCTTTTTTGTTTGCTGGTATTTTACGATACTACAAATTGTACACGTTATGCATCTATATAAAAATAGATTTTCTCGTACGTAGAACCACACACACATATATATATATAAATATATCAGCGAATGTCTCACAACCAACACCATTAATTATTCACACATACACATGTATATACATATACAATTTCTCCTACATGTTGCCTTGGTGCCTTCGGAGCACGATGACAAGTGGTTCATGGGGGCGGTAGCGGGTAATAGTATTCTCCTTTGGGATCTATGACCTGGTCGAGCAAAAATCCCGCTATTTCCTCTTGAAGTGCTAGTATGCGCTCCGCTGGTAGGAGCTGCTCCCGCACCTCTCTGAACTGTTAAGAAGGAGATCAATATGCATGTGTATTAGTTGTGTGACTAGATATCAATAATGGTGTGAATAGTGTTCTGACAAACGTACCCAGTCCTGTCTTTGAGATCTGCTCCTTTCGGACGCCATCATGCGAATGTTCTCGCAAACGTAGAATGCACACAGATCATTCCCCTGCGCCTGCTTCAGGGCCTTTACGAGAATGGAATTGAATCAGATAATGATTAATCAAGCATGATAATTAATTAATGGTATTGAAACAAGAATTAAAGAGATGGTAGCTAGCTAGCTAATAGTACTACTTAATTACTTACCTTTGGTCGATACCAAAACAGCTTTTTTGCCCATTTTCCTGGAGTCACCTTGATGGACTTTGCCCAAGCCCTGCCCGTCGGCAAAGAAAATTAATAAAGGGGTTATTAAATAGTTCATATCAGGAAATGACGAACTAAATAGGCCGAGATATAGTTAATAATGATTGAAATTACCTATTGACTATCCCCTTCATGATGGTGTAGTCTTTTTCTTCTTTAAGTAGTGAGTCCAGTACTTCAACTGTTCCTTTGTCAACTTTAATGTCTAACAAGATCCAGTAGAAACTGCATGTGCACACATTTGCATGTCTTAATTAAGCGGGCATGTGCATAACACTAATCAACTACTGTAAACCCTATACACTTAATTACTAACATCTAGCTAGCTAGTAAGCAAAAACAGAATTTGTAGTACAAGACAGTGTGACTCACCGGAAGTTGTAAGGAAGTAGTATATCCTCATTGGTATTGAGGCGCTTGAAGAACTCCAGCATGCTTTCCTCTAAACTTACTTGACAAGTTGGAAGATTCCATGTGTACTCATTAATGGTATTTGGGTCAATGAACCCAATGCCATAGCGTCCAGATTTTTTCATTTCATACATCTTCATCCTGCATATAATACCACAGAAAAGAATATATAGTGAGGATAAATACATGTAATGATTGATCAAAATGATCACTACAACTAGCTTGAGACTTAAATTACAGAAAGAAATCAATTACAGACAATAGCAACTGACGATAGATTTGTCGAGTGCGTCTTGATTGTATAACTGAAATGGTTCTGAATACTCAACGGACAGAGCTTTCTCATGGAAGTAATGCTCCTGCTTGATAGTCACCATGAGGGACTCTCTATTGGAACTCTTGGTAATGTTCATGTACCATTGATGCAATTCATACATTCTCGTTGGGAGGTTCTTGACCTTGTCTGGCTCGACCAAAGGTTGGCTCCGGACATATTTCTGTTTTATTTCCTCCTCTCTAAGTGGAGACATGGGCTCGATTTCGAGGAGTTGTCCAACCGAGATCTTGAGCATTTCAGCCTGCATTATTTGCTCCTCCGTTATTACCACATCGCACAGCTGGGGAACATTAACGGTTTGCCCACAATAATTGGGCGTGCGTACTCCTCTCATGTGTTGTTGGCACAACAAGCGGGGGGATCGATTGCGCCACCTGTTCTCCCAGCTGGGGAACGATTTTCCCGCATTTTTTGCCAGCTGCTTGTTGGCTCGAGCTCGAGCTCGGTTCCTTCTGTAGTCGTGCTCGATGTGACTTCCTGATTTGGCGCTCATAGTCTGAGTCAACAGGCTTGGGAGATGGTGCTCTAGCCATACGAATGAAGTGGTTAATCTTTTCCTCAGGCACTTTCTCCCTTGGCGGTGGTGTCGGTTTCGGTCCAAAATGGGCGTCCACTTGGGCCTGCACTATGGCTGCGTTTTGCTCCATGGTCATGTCGTAAGGCCTCTGAGGAAGAGGAGCGAGGCTTGGACCATATTTATATCGCTTGTCTCCGCCTGTACTTCCTGTACTACCTCGACTCGTACCGCTACGCACCATAGATGCGGCGTGTCTCTTCTACGATTGCTGAGACGGTGGAGATGACTGACGTGGTTGAGTTGGAGCAGGAGGAGTGGCCTGACGCTGTGCCGGACTTGAAGCAGGAGGTGTGGCCTGACACGGTGTCGGACTTGAACCCGGAGGAGTGGCCTAACGCTGTGCCGGACTTGAAGCAGAGTATGCTCACGCGTTCGGGGACTTGGAGGAGGTGGCGGACTTCGAGGAGGAGTCGGCAGATGACGCGGTGTCGGTGGACTTCGAAAGATGATGCAATCCTTTCTCCATAGGATGATACGATGTATGGCCTCTCCCAGTG